ATCCTTAGATACATTTCTATAGTAAAGGGCGGCAGTCTCAAGTTGCTGGGAGTGCCAGGCACTGTCCTTTTAAAGAGCAGTCATTTTATAAGATACTTTTTTTTTTTTTTAAGGAGACAGCATCTTACTTTTTTGCCCTCAGTAGAGCGCTGTGGCACCACAGCTCACAGCAACCTCCAACTCTTGGGCTTAGGCAATTCTCTTGCCTCAGCCTCCCGAGTAGCTGGGACTCCAGGCGCCCGCCACAAAGTCTGCCTATTTTTTGTTGCAGTTTGGCCGGCACTGGGTTCAAACTGGCTACCCTCTGTATTATGGGACTGACGCCCTACCCACTGAACCACAGGCGCCACCCTAGAAGATAACTAGGTTACTGTTCTGATAGTTCTACCTCTGACCTCTTCTGAAAATGGAGTTTTTTCTCAATGAATCAGATTTGAACTGATTAACAGATGGTTATTTTTAGTTTTTATTTACTTCAGTGTAAATTTCTATGTTTAGCCCCAGAAATCTTATTGGGTTTGAATATAGAATATTGCCATAAACCCTGCTAGGAGTTGTGTAACATATGGTATGTGCAGGTATGACCTTTTCTACATCTGACCCATTCTGAATTGTGGAACACCTACGACCCTAAGTGTTTTGAGGAAGGGATTGTGGAACTGTATGTTGTGGTTTATATGGAATCTCACAACTCCTTCCTCAGAGACCTTGGACTGGGGCTCAGAATCTGTTGTCCTAACCAGTACTGCAGGTGGTATTTTTAGTATGGAAAGTTTGGAAAATAGAGTCTTTTTCTGTGGTGACTATGGTTACTTCTTAGGTACTGTTTTTCCTACTTCTGTTGTCTCCCATTGTACTTCCTGAATTTGAATTCAGTCTTTTGAATAAAAAGACCATTTTTGTCTTTTAAAAAGTCACCATCTTAGAAAGGTGGAATTTAGGAGACCAGAGTTCAAGGTCTTCTTGCCAAAGGATGTGCATCCGTGAGCATCACTTAGTTTCTCTGTGCCTCAGTTTCCTCACTTGTAAATGAGAGTGTTGGCCTAGATTTCACATTACCCATATGCTTATGTTATTCCTTCCAAGTGTCTCTTCAGATGTTCTGATTTTCTTTTTTTCCTTTGTGGATAATATTAATTACATTGATAGTGTACATCTTGCTTCATCAGAATACCAGAAAAATAGTATTCTGGTCATCAGCATGGATTTAATTTAGAAAATGAACCTAAACAGTTTGCTTTTGAATAGGTGATATTTTCATCTAGTAAAAACTTCAAAAACTTCATATTCCAAAGTATTTTCCTTCCACCTTGACTCTTGATCCTTCTCCCTAGAAGTAGCCACTGTCCCTAGGTTCTTGTGTATCCTTTCAGAGATAGACAAGACTATGTATTTATAATAATATGAAACTTGAAACCTTTTTTAAAAGTATATGGGAAAAACAGGTTAATTCTAGGGAAAAAACATAGAAAATGGTATAAGAGAACTAACTTCATCATAAATCTTGCACATCTTTATTAATTACCTATTTTATTATGAAAGAATAAAAACAATTTTTAGAAGATGGGGGTAAATCGCAGAAGAAATAGCTAAAAGAGATGAAAGTGGTTGTTGTAGGGGGCCTGCCATGGCTAGGGTATTGCTTTTTTGGGTTTTTTTGAGGCAGAGTTTCACTATGTTGCCCTTGGTAGAGTGCTGTGGCGTCACAGCTCACAGCACCCTCAAACTCTTGGGCTTAAGTGATTCTCTTGCCTCAGCCTCCCATAGCTGGGACTACAGGCACCTGCCACAACGACCGGCTATTTTTTTGTTGCAGTTGCCATTGTTGTTCTAGCTGACCCGGGCTGGATTTGAACCTGCCACCCTCGGTGTATGTGGCTGGGCCGTAACCATTGTGCTACAGGTGCTGAGCCTGTTGATTTTTTTTATTATTCATTCTTGTATATATTTGTATATGATATTTTGATAGAAATAAAAATTGATTGAAAAAAAGTAGAAAATATGGATAAACAAATGGAAATAACCCATGTTTGTTATTCCTTCCGAGTGTCTCTTCAAATGTTCTGATTTTCTTTTGTTACCTACTGTTATGTCCAAATAAAAGCACTAACATAGATTATTTTCTTCTATTTGTACTATACTTTCTTTTTTAATTTTCAAGAAAAATTAAAAGAATAGTATGAGTTGCAGGCCGTGGTGGCTCATGCCTATAATCCTAGCAGTTTGGGAGGCTGAGGTAGGATTCCTTCAGCTCAGGCAAGAAGATGGCTTGAGTTCAAGACTTTGAGATTGTTGTGGCTATGATGACACCATGACACTCTAGTCTGGGTGACAGACTGAGACTGTCTCTATAAAAAAAGAATAGTATTGTGAGCATCTATAAGCTAGCACTCAGATTCAATAGTTGTTAACATTTTGCCTTTGTTCTTTGTATATTTATGTGTGTGTCATGTATATAAATTTTTTTTGCAGAATCTTTTGAAATTGAGTTGCAGATATGATAGTTAACCCCTGACTTCAACTACTAGCTAACTGCTACTAACATGTACCTCCAATGATAAGGACAGTGTCTACATGACAACAATATAATCATCATACCTAAGAAAATTAACTTTAATTTTCTAGTATTACTTAATATTCAGTCATGTTTTGAGTTTCCTTGGTTGACTCCAAAATGTCTTTTTATCTTACTAACCAAGATCCAATCAGAGTATAAACTGATGAGTATAAACATTACATTTTGTTGTTATATCGCTTTAGTCCTTTTAAATCTAGGACAGTCTCCCACCTTTTTTCCTATGGCATTGAATT